ATTAAAATTAAAATTTCTTTTTTATATTTTTGGGTATGAATTGAATATCAAAAATACAAGTTTCCGACATTGAAAGCCTTGTGGGTTCGCTGAAATGCTCCAAAAACCATTCAAATTTGAATTTTTTTCGGTTTACACTAAATATCTCCTTTTTAATGCGAGATGAGTACAAAATGCTTTTATTCAATTTTAAACTAGCTTAAAATTTTCTAACATTTGTATACTTTGCATTTTCTGTCTAGACCCAACAGTAAGCGAATTATCAAGCTTTTAAAATGGGTAACGTTTTGAAAACATGCAAAAAAGAGTATAACTTTTTGTTTTTAACTAATTCTCTCTTTGTATAGGTTACTTTGGTCAAAATTTTAAACTAAATACTAAAGCACACACAATTTACTACAGATTTTATAAGAATCATATTTTTCTAAACTTTTTTTTTATTATTATTTTATTGAAATTTACAACTGTAAACATATATACAACCAGTAAATTTGCTATAGGAATATATTACATGAAGGTACTTGTGGAGAAGCTACCCATTGGTAACACTTCAAAGATGAATTAATTTAGGAGGTTCCTTGGCGATCTTCTTTTCAGACGCCTCGTAGGGTTTTCAGGAATTCTGTTGGATGAAAGGTTACAAACTAGAGGATTGGGGTGACCAAAAAGTTTGGAATGAAAAGAAGTATGTCTAGTTCGGGCCAAGTCTTCCACAAGAGGAATGTTGAGGTCTTGATGGATAATTTTATTTGTTACATAATAAGGAGCATTTAGGATTTTACGGAGGATTTTGGATTGGATACGGGAAGAATTTGATGTTTTTGTAGAGCCCCAAAGCTCAATACCGTATGTCCAAATGGGCCTGATGACGGTAGTGTAAATGAGTTTTTTGTAAAATATTGGAAGTTTAGAGAGTTTGTCAACTAAGCGTTGTAGTAGTCGGAAACTGTTGGCAGATTCTTGTCGTTTAAGTCTAGTATGATGATTCCAGGTAAGGCGTTTGTCAAGAAGGAGTCCTAGGTAACGGATCTGTTCGACAGGGATCAGTGGAATATTGTTAAAGGATACGGTGGGACAGGATGTTGTAGGTTTACGGTGAAGGTAAAAGTAATTTATTGGGATTTGTTTGAATTAATTTTAATTCTCCAATTTGCATACCATTTTTCAATGGCTGAAATGTGTGACTGCAGGGTTTGTGATTCAATGGTTGGTTCATTATTGACAGGCAACACACACGTGTCATCAGCATATGTAGTGAAGATGGTTGAAGGATAGGTAGGGATGTCAGTTGTACATGCTGTGTAAAGGATGGGACTTAAGATGCTCCCATGAGGAACACCAACGGACTGGGAAAACAGATATGAATAAGCAGAGTTACAATTTACTTTAAAGGTTCTATCTGTGAGGTAAGAGCGGATTAATAGGAAATATGTAGGGGGCAGGACTTGACGGTGTTTGTACAGTAAACCTGCATGCCAGACTCGATCAAAAGCCTGTTCCACATCGAGAAAAGCTGCCGTGCAGAACATTCCGCGCTCCAGTGTCGAGGAAATGACATCCACCACGCGATGGCAACGCTGAATAATGGAATGAGATGTTCAAAATCCAAAATGATGGTCAGGAATCAAGTGATTTGAGTCTAAGATTGGGTAAAGGCGTTTTAATATAGATTTTTCTTATGATGGGAAGCAGGGAGATAGGACAGTAAGAGGATGCTGGCTTCTTTGGATTTAGAATCATTTTTATTTCCAAGGATCAGGAAAATAGGTGGTTCTAAGTACGGCGTTATATATATAGGTGAGAAAAAGGACAACTTTTCGAGGAAATTGCTTTAGGATTTGGGAGGTGATGAAATCGTGACCTGTAGCTTTTTTGGACGGTAATTTCTGAATTATGTCAAATATTTCAGAAGGATAGAATGCTTTAGGAGGAAGCGACATTTAGCAAGGGATAGTTAGTTCTGCTTCAACATGTTCAAGATGGGTAGGGTTGAAGATATCCGGATGAGAGTTAAAAGTTTTGAAAAGGTTTTCACCAAATATTTGAGTCTTTTCTTCATCGGTTCTTGACCAGGTCTGGGATTCAGTGAGGAGAGGATGATTAAAGGTTTTTAAATTGAGTAGCTTTTTTATGATTATCCATAATGATTTGTCATTGGTAGTTAGGTTTTCTGTTAAGTTCTGAAAATTTTGAATTTTGTGTTTTCTGATTTCTATTTTAAGATTGTTGGTCAATTTATTGTAAAGAATTTTGACCGATGGATATCTGGTTTTATGCCACTTGGCTCTTGCCCGTCGTTTTTCTGCTAGTACTATGTTAAGATGATAAGGCAAATTGGTTTCTTGGTGATTTCTAATGTTGGGTTGTGACGTGTTGTTATTAATGGTTGTTTGTACAGTTCTTGTGAATTCTTCAATAGCTGAATCAATCTGAGTTTTAGTTTTTAACGAAATATTTAAATCCAGACTATTTTCTAGGTCATGCCTAAAGTTGTCACAGCTTACTTGTCCTGTAATCAGTGATGTAGGAGAGGATTTAGGAATAGGATTTGAATGCATAAGAAGCAGAACTGGGGAGTGGTCTGATGAAAGGTCGTTTAAGGATTTGATAGTTTATTGAAATGAAGGTCTTTGGGAAGAAACGAATATATCAAGGATGTCGGGACGTTTCTTGGGAGATGAAGGCCAGTAGGTAGGGTTCTTGGGAGGCAGAATGGAATAACTATTGGAGGATGTGACACGGGAAAGTATCCTACCACGAGTATTGGACGTTTGGCATCCCCACCGTTGTTCTTTGGCGTTGTAATCTCCCCTTCTAAACTTAAATAAAATCTCTAATAAGAAATTGATGTTTTGAAATTCAGAAAAATCCTTATAATTTTATTTTTACTGTGTTCTACTTATTTTAATGAAGCTGGTCATCAACAATTACTGTATTTCTTGTTACTTTTGATGCCACATTTATGTCAGTAAGATAGGTCAAGAAATAGAAATAGAAAAATAGTCAAGATTGTCATCCAGATGACAAATTCATTGAGTTTAGAAAGATAATATCAAATGCTACTCTGAGTACCGAGTACCAAGCATTTTACTCAAATTGAATCACTATTGGGAATTCAATCTCAACTTCAGTTAATCATTTGACATTAACTGATGTAGTAATTAAATTCGCTGGTACTCAAAAAAGGTCAGTATTTGAGTAAAATACTTGGTACTCAGTAGTCAGAGTAGCATTTGCCCATCTCTGCTTTTGATTTCGTAAATACATCGAATTCAATATTGACTTTCTTTCCATAAGTTCAAATGAATTGACACCAAAAATTTAAATGAGTTCAAGTATCTTGGAGATGAGGAGAGGAGAGAAGCCTGGTCACATGCTATAATAAAATAGAGAGCGAAATAGCGAGGTCAGGATAGCAGCAGGAAATATATGCTATTTCTCACAGCAAAGAGACTTAAAATTCAGATCACTTTCTAAAATAATCAAAATCCTCATCTACAAAACCATAGTAAGGCCAGTGATTATGTAGGGGTGTGAGACTTGGACCTTAACCATAAAATCAGAACGCACTCTCAACTCCTGGGAGAAGAAAGATGTGCCGGAATCTTTGAGAATGGAATATGGAGAAAAAAAAGAATGGAATTTGGAGAAAAAAAAGAATGGAATTTGGAGAAAAAAAAGAATGGGGAGCTGTGAGAACTTTATGGTGAACCTGATGTGGCATTGATAAAAAGAGCCACAATCAGATGGTTAGGTCATGTGGAAAGAATGACAGACCAAAGAGGATGCTGCATGAGAAGCCGGATGGCAAAAGAAGTAGATGGCTGGAGGATGTGGAGAACGATCTGAGGCGGTTGGGCGTTCGGAGATGGAGGGAAGTAGCACAAGACCTTGGAGATTGGACGGTTATAGTGAAGGAGTCCAGGTTCTTGCAGGACCCTAGTGCCATTATAATAATAATAATAATACAAAAACAGCATTTGCCTGGCTGCATTGATAAAGTTTAAATTAAAATATAAACTAAACATATATTAAGGCATGAAAAAAAAATCTAAACATAATGAAAATATAGTAAATGTAATGCAATTAAAAAAAAATTGAACTGTATAAATATTGAGAAGAATATAGATACATTTTTATTCTAACTTACATAGGAATATCTTATTTACATATCCACAGAAAATTAATGTTTCAAGTGATGGAGAAATAGGTGATTTCTATTAATATCTATTGCATATTAATTTCTATTAATGTCTATTGCATAGACTGTAACTCCATGCATTCATTTGTTGAGTAGAGGCTTCCTGATTGATTGCCCCGAACTACATGCCCTGCCCACCTTAACCTCCTTGCCTTCATATCATGAGATATTGATTGACCATTTTCTGTAATAAGTTCTTTATTGGATATGTAAGTTTCTTCTCATCTATGCACATAAAAATAAATAAAAAAATCCTAAAACTGTCCAAACAAATATATACATTTATTTTTAAGTGTTCAATATTATATTTGCTAGTTTCACAATATTTTACACATAACATGAACTACCGTCATTTTTTTTTTTTGTTCATCACACCACTAATCAAAATGGAATTCAGGCTGGCTTAGAGGTGCTTGCCATAGCGCGGGCCATAGTTTGGAGACCCCTGATATAGTGGAGGTGTTCACTGGTTGATGACAGAAGCCTAACAGAGAATAAGGAATATTTGTGGAGTTATAGTATATTCAACAACTTAAAGTGAACAATTTAGTCACATAATTTTTTTCACTGATGATTTTGAATAGGATATTAATAGAAATCATTCTGATGATAGAGAAATATCTTGAAACTTTGATGGGTATATATAAGAGTGATAAAAAAGTGAAGATTTGTTCTATAAGTGGAAGTTATTTTCTCTGATACATGAAATGGAAAAATAAATAATAAAAGTTCGTGAGGTAATCATAAAACACAATTAGCTGCCATTAAATAATTATAAAACAATAAAGGATTATGCACACTGAAATATATTTATAAATTAAACATTATGAATCTTCCAATACATTTTTATTAAACTAATGATTGCTATAATTTACTCTTTCCAATAGAATTATATAAATAAGAATTTTTAAAAAAATTATACGGCATCTTTCTTCCTTTTAATAAGCAACCTGAAAATAATAAAAACAATTTTAATCAGTTTTTACCCAAAAATACATTTAAAAAATATATACCCACACACATAAATATTTTTCAATGTAACTTACATAAGTAACAATTAAGGTCATTTAGTAATTCTGCATTTGTAAACAACATATTTTTCCTAAAAAAAAAAATATATATATATTAAAAAACTAATACATCAACCCATCTTACTCAAATTTAATACCTTAAGAGGCAAAAATGAAAAAGATAAATAAAATAATATTGACAGAAATGTATTTTGATTGTTTTACACAACAATGATTGAATAATTTCTGTAAGGAGTTCTTTATTATTCAGATATCTTGCAGAGGATTTTCTGTTCAAATCTTTCAATTCTTCTTTCTTGGGTGCTGATTAGCATCCAGGTCTCGCAGCTGTTTGTTAAAACTGGCTTTATCATAACATTATATATCCTTAAATTAAACTTTCTAGGCAGTTTATGGGATTTCAATAGCTTTGAAAGAAATAAGAAGGCTCAGTTTACGCTTGCTATATGCTGGTCTATTTCTGACAATTGATCATTCATTGAGGTTATTAGATTATACATAATAATATAATTAATATAAACCAAGGCAACTTACTAAAGTATTTAAAATTTTAATGATATGGATTTTAAAATAGCAGGTACATTGAATTCAATTTGATACTACTCTCTCAAAATGATTTATAACACTTTTTTCCTTCCCTTAATATAAAAAATATTGATCAAGTCATCTATAGATTAGATTGACAATAAAATTATCATGGTTCTTCAGTTTAAATTATTCTGTAATAATTGAAAATGATAGTAAACTTGACTATTCTACTAAACTTATTTTTAATTTGGAAAGGAATAAAATATTTTTTTTTTTTTATCTTTTTAATTTTTTTTTATGAAAATAATGGTTACAAAAACACTTCATTTGACAATTCTTTATTTGAATAAATTGTGATGATAACAAAGTCTCCAGTGTTTCTCTTAAAAAAAAAAAAAAAAAAAAAATTCCCATACATTTCCTGATTTTTCTTGTATATCATCAGGGTGCTGCCGCAGGGGCTAGCTGTAGCGCACAGTTAGTGGGGACTGACGCTCCTCCGGCCTCCCGAGTCCAGTACACTGCGCAAAACACACATGACAGTACACAATTCACTCACACTGACGCAAGGTCACTAATAGAACACACCCTAGGATCACCTTCCCTAGGAAGCCTACATTTACCCCGGATGGGGGCCACGTCAGGACGCTTTGAGGAGGCAGCTCCTCCACCTGACTCGGGGGCAGTGGGCCGATAACCCGTTCCCCTTAAATTACCTCTATTATGAATGCTCCAAAAAGATTAGCCGGACCAATAAACAGGAAACGACACAACGCTCATCAATTGGACTACACTTTGGCTTCATGGAACGTTTTAACTCTACATAGACCCGGAGCTACACAAACGCTCCTAAACATTTTAAAAACATATTCAATAGACATAGCGGCCATCCAAGAGATCAGGTGGACTGGATAAGGCAGCCTTAAGAAAGGCCAGCACACCATTTATTACAGTTGTCATGACCAATTACACTCGTTTGGGACTGGATTTATTGTGGGAAGAAGAGTGACCCAGCAAGTTATAGATTTCAAGCCTATCAGCCCCAGACTCTGTGTCTTGCGATTCAAGGGAAAGTTTCACAATGTCAGCATCAACTGTGTACACGCGACTACAGAAGTCTCTGAAGATGAAATGAAAGACGAATTGTATGAGGAACTGGAGAAGTGCTTTGATGACTGCCCTGCTCATGATATGAAAATAGTGATTGGAGACTACAATGCTCAAATTGGAAAAGAGAAAGCATTTAGGCCTACTATAGGAAGAAATAGCCTTCATGAGAACTCTAACGACAATGGAAAAAGGGTGGTGAACTTCGCAGCCTCTAAGGGTTTGGTTGTGGGAAGTACCTATTTTCCGCACAAGTTAGTGCATCTAGAAACATCGAGGAAATTCGGATGGAACGGATCCACTACAAGCTCTCAGATCAACCATGTACTCGTCAGTGCCAGATATAAATCCTCATTACTTGAAGTTCGCACAAAATGAGGGGCTAACATTAACTCGAACCACTACCTTATAATTGCAAAAATAAGGTATCGGATATCAACAGTGAAGTACCAGCCTCGACATTCTCTGAAGAGATACAATATTGAAAAGTTTAAGGACAGTGATACAAGCAATAGATTCTCATGCCAACTGGACATCAAATTAAGAAACTCTGTCACAGAATCAAATCTCGAGTCACAATGGAACTCATGCCGCACTGCACTTATGGAAGTAGCGAACGAGGTTGTAGGAGATAAGACCAAGCAGATATATAACCCGTGGTTGGATGACGAATGTGGTGCAGTGACCAAGAGAAAAAACATTGCATACAATAAAATGATGCAAAGGAAGCACACACGAAGCTCTGTTCAGGAATACAGAGCAACGAGAAGGCGCGAGAGGCATGTCCATAGGAGGAAGAAAAGACGATGGGAGAATAAGAGTCTACAGGAGATAGAAGAGACCTTCATCTCCAAAAATACTAGAGAATTCTTCCAGGTTATTAATAAAGGAAGAAAGCCCTTTATTGCCTGTACCACAGGATGCAGAGCAAACGATGGCTCCTTAGTAACTGACAAACAAGGCATTTCGGACAGATGGGCTGAATACTTTTCAACTCTTCTTAACAGAAATGGCACAAATGTCTCAGAGGCAAATGATCCAATTACAGGTGGTGAAGACGTAGAACCCCCAGATGAGGAAGAAATCAATGAAGCCATAGAAGGACTAAAAAGCAATAGAGCCCCAGGCATTGATAACATCCCTGAAGAGCTCATAAAACTCCTCCAGGAAATGTTTCATGCCGTTTGGGTTGATGAAGAGCTTCCAAGTGATTGGAAAAATCCATTATATGCCCAGTGTACAAAAAAGGGGACGTCTATCAATGTAATAATTACAGGGGCATATGCCTTCTACCCAACGCCTATAAAAATTTTTCAAGGATTCTTTATCTGCAATCGGAAAATACCAGGCCAGATTCATTAAGGGTAAATCAACCATCGATCAAATATTCACCTTCCGAATCCTTCTGGAGAAAACCAAAGAATATCAAATTTCTACACATCACATCTTCATTGATTTCAAGCAAGCATATGATTCCATAAATCATGAGGAAGCATACAAAGCAATGGTAGAAATGAATGTACCTAAAAAACTTGTAAGGATTGTTAGAATGACAATGGAGGGTAATGAGTGTTTCGTACGAGTACAAGGTGACTTGTCAAAGGGGTTTAGAACATCGACAGGTGTAAGGCAGGGAGACGCTCTGGCATGTCTGGTATTCAACTTTACCCTTGAAAAAGTGTGGCAAATCGGTGCTATTTCTCCCTCCAGAGACATCTTCGCAGTAGAATGTTGTCAAGACAGGCCAAAATAGGAATATATGAAACTCTTATTAGACCAGTGCACACATATGGCTGTGAGAGTTGGACCTTAACTAAAGCAGTTGAGAAATCCCTGCTCAGATTTGAAAGGAGGATTATACGACGCATATTTGGAGGGGTCCAGGAAACACCACAGAATTGGAGGAGGAGAATGAATTTGGAAATAAAGACATTGTTTAATGACCTGGATGTGAGCCAATTCATCGCACTGGCAAGACTACGCTGGGCGGGACATGTCGCGCGGATGGATATGAATGCACCCCCACAGAGAGCTATGAATGAGCCTGTGTTTGGAAACAGACGAGTGGGAAGACCATGTTTGCGCTGGCAAGACTGTGTTGCTGCTGATGCATGTAGACTACTTGGTGTCAGAAATTGGAAGGCTGCAGCAACTAACCGGGAGAACTTAAGATCCATGCTGGAGCAGGCCAAGTCTCAAATAATTGGGATGTAGTGCCATTTAATAATAATATCATCAGCGTGTCCAGTATTTCTCTTCAACAAAATTCCCATTTGAAAAAAAAAAAAAAATAGAATACAAGAACTCACTGAGGTCATATTTTCCTCTTATTGTAGTTTGCAAAAAATAAAAAAAATCTTACTCAGTAGAACATAATAAGGTCATATTTCCCTTTTTTTTTTTTTTAGAAAAACAGATAAAAACTGATTTTGTTTTTTCATTAATGTTGTGTAATTGAGGAAATTAAATAGAGATTTAAAATCAATTGAACTGTTGAATTTCTTTCTCATACTTGTTTTTGAACATTTTATAATAGGTTTAGAAATTTAATTTATCAAAATGAACAATATAGAGAAAAAAAGTTGAAACCCTTAAAAAGCACATTTCTAACTCCAGTACAACTCACATACAAATGTCTAATCATCTGACTCATTTAGGCAGTAAAGGTGCTTAAAACGATAGAAAATGTGAAAACCACTACAACATTGCAGGGGTAAAAAAAAGCAAATAGAGCCCCCAAACAGCATTGTCTACACTGTCACTCAAATGCTAAAATTTAAAATAATTAGATATTAAAGTGAACATCATAAGTAAATTTTTGTTGTAGAATGTTGATTTTTGTTTAGCTCATACCTTTTTTTTTTTTTTTACTTAATAAGATTAAAGCCTAGGGAACTCAATGTGTTTGTTTTTTATGTCTGTGTTTGTTTTAGTTAATTGAAAATGGAACAATGGGGTATCTGTTTATTAAAAGGAAGTCAAACTACTTTATTTTAACAACGCAAATAGACTATATATTGGTATCCCCCATTATACCCACAGCAGGTACTTTTGTATCGTATAAATTCTTTAAGTAGGGATTTTCTTAGCTTACTTCAAAAATAATAAATTACTACAAAATTTCGGCAAGTTCAAGCAATTCTTCTCGTTTTATCGAAGTTCTACGCTACAATTTTTTCACCAACAGGCACAAATATAATTCCACGTTGATAACAAAATCTACAATAAGACATACTAAACAACTCTCACCACACATTTCAGATAAACATGACATATATTCAAACTGGGTTCACTTAAAATAATACATCAAGAAAAAAATAATTTTAAGTGAAATATTAATGAATCTAGATTCGAAAACTTTTGCCCACAGAAACTATATGAATATTTATGTTCATTTATACTAGGTATCGTGAAAAATCACGGATTGTGACAATCTATCAATACATCATTAATAATTAATCACAAGAGAAAGAAGAACTTAGAAAGAATTCAACTAGTAGATTATTTTATAAAATATGATTTTTTTCTATAAGAAAACAATATAAATACATACTGTTTATTCCTGATAATTATTTTCATTTCACTTAAAGCATTGTAGATGTTTGACAACAGGTCAAGTGAAAGACAATAATATTCCTCAATATACCCAGATATAATTTTAAATGAAATTTTATCCTGAACCTCTTTGACTACTTGTAGTTGAGTTTTCTGGGTAATATCTTCCTGAAATAAGTAAAGAAAAAATAAATAAATTTTACATATAATTCTATAAAGTTTGTATTGATATCAAGAGGTAAGTTCATGAAAGATGATAAGTACACTTCTAACTAAGAGTTGCTGACTTACAAAATTAGGAAAATATTTCTATTAAGGACTCTCAAAGCCCATAAAGTGGCTTCTCTTGTTTTAGCTCATAGTACAGGAAAAATATAACTTTTTGGTGGTTAAATGATTTATCAGTATTTTGTCATTATCTTTGGTGATTGAATTAATTTGAAAATATTTAATAAAAGATGAATATTTAAAGTTTAGGTTTCCTTTCAAGTTTGTTATCACTAGGACCTATGTATCATAAAAAATTTCTATATTAGATATGTACATTAGTGATGGTTCTGGATAAGAGAAAATCTGAGGTTGAAAAGAACACCCAAGTATGTTATTAATGGCTGTAAACTTATTTTACATACAAATTGAGAAGGTTGATGCTGATGCTTATGGTTCATTGACTGAAGTATATTGCTGGGCAATGAATTTTTTTTTTTCAGTAATAGCTTTGATTTGGTCAATATATTTATCAGGCAAGTTCCCTAATGACTCAGAGGTATTTTTCCAGTAGTGTTTATGGGTATCCTTATTTTTTAAAATTTTAAACATGTTTTACTGATTATTAAAAGTTAGACTTTGTCTGATTTATTACAAGATGTCTTATCCCTACCTATCTATATTAATACAAAAGTAAAAATAATAATTCTAAAAGAAGGAAACTTGCTAAACAGAATATTTAAACTTAACCAAATTATTTACAGATTATAAAATATTTTTTAAAAAATCAACAATATTCCTAGAAAACTAGCCTAGCTGTGGATGAAGTTGAAATCTCTAAAATACAAATATTAATAATAATAAAAAAAGTTCTGCTAATAAGAAGAACCTTCAGAGCAATGGAAAAAATCTATAATGATTCCAATTTACAAACTGGGATAGCACAGACTAACTGCTGAAAACGGATTCATTCAATGAAGGAACTTACAGATAGGCACCATTCCAAGTTTAAAATAATTCTCATCTCAACACATAACTCTTGTCAGTTGGCAGAGAGTCATTGTTTCATCCATACAATTTTAAATTTAACAGGGTGTCTAGTGATTTTCTCCAACAAAACTGTTCATTTCTCAGGTTTTCTTGCTCATTTCCAGTTTTTTCCTAAACATTACCACATTTCAGAAGGGAAAATAAATAAAATACAAAAGATGAATAGGTCGAATTTCCTCTTATTGTAATCAGAAAAATGAAATAAAATCATGAGCAGCAAAGCAGATTAAGGTCATATTTTTCCTCATTTTTGTTTAGAAAACATGAAAAGTTATTTTATTGTTTTATTAATTTTATAGACTCGAGTAAATCGAATAGAATTTTAAAATCAATTGAACTGCTTCTATCTCATTTAGGTTTTTAAAACATTTTATGATTAATTTACAAATTTAATTTATTGAAATGGTGATGGGGAAAAAAAGTCGAGACACACAAAAGACATTTCTCTAACTCCAACCCAACCCAAATACAAAATTTCAATCCTTTCCTCAATCAACTTGAACAGAAGGAACATGAAATGTTATAAAAAAAAACACTGACCCTCCAAAGAATAGCAGAGGTGGGAAGAACATTTAGAACCACAGAAGGGCCTTCTCTAACTCAAGTACAAATTTTTCACCTTCTAATTTGATCTGTGAGACTTAGGAGATGGACAAAATCTTAAAAACAAACAGAGACTCCCAATAGACACTTCTCTAACTCAAATTAATCCTTGCACAAAACAAAAATTACAGGGTAGTGATAAAAAAATCTTTATCACCAGCTCAATTTACTTAATTTACTTTAGCTCAACTCTTAATTAAGAGGAGGCGGCTATAGAGGTACACAAAACCTTAAAAACACGAAAACAACAAAAATAAATGGGAGGATGAAAAAAATTGAAACATCCAGAAAGCTTCTCTTTCAAAAACAAATTTTTAATCCTTCAACTCTAATTTACCAAAATTCTCTTCACAAGAGATTTCATATACTACATTTGATTGAAGTTATTATTAATTTATCGGTGTCTTGGTTTTAACTGAATAATATAGATTAAGTATTTTTGAAAGAGATGGTGTAATCGCTTTGCATTGAACATTGTAAAAACATAAAAAAAACATGTCATATGTTAATTAAAGCTTACTATCAACTATTAAAAGAAAAATTTAGGACTAAATGGTAGCGGTGATATGGAGTTTTGCCAAGCAAAACATTCATTTCGTTTGTAAATTTTATCTAATAAAACAGTAAAATTTATGCTGGATATTGGTGTGATCAAGTGATTATTATTTTTTGTATTAACTGTTTTTTCTAGTCTTTCTAGAAGTGATTTTATTTATGGAACTGTGTAATATCCTTTACTGTTGGTTTTATAATATGGGTGCTACTGAGATAGCGACAACGCCTGTGTTGTTTTAGTAAATTGAAAATGAGACGATGGGATATCCATTTATAAAAATGAGGTCAACTACTTCATTTTAATAAGTTACATAAAATAAATATATCATTATATACATAGATTACATAAAAACTAAAAAATCCTAAATGTATATGCAATATAATTCAAATGAGTGCATTCTTCATTGCAGGAAAATTCATTAAAGTACGTAGTAAGTATTCATTAAACGATTCCAAAAGGCTTCTCAAAAAAACAATCCGTTGTTTGGTTTAGAAGCATATTCATCACATCAGTATAACAGATAACCTGACCTGTTCTCTGTGTTCTTAAGATATCATGACTGGAGAACATCTTGATACATACCCTGCTTTAGAGGAAATAAGATATGTTTTAACTGAAAATGACAACCCCTTTGCTGGAAAAGCGAAATTATATTGAGCTGAAAGATAACACATGGCTGATCAAGCAGGCATTATTCAGGTGTTGGAACCAAAAAAATAAAAAATAAATAAAATTTACTGATTCAATTTTATGAAGTGTTCATTATTGACTTTCACCATTCTTTCATGGTTTTCACATTTTGTAAGGATTTGTGCTCCCCTACAATCTCTCCTTACTGAGTTAAAAGGATTGAAGATTTGAAAGGGTCCATTATATTTTAATATTATCACAGGTGTATAACATGAACTTGTGTATTTCTAGTGTATACTAGAAATGATTTAATTTTAATATTGATTTATTTTAACTTTCAGGATGTCTTCATTATTGAGGTCCATTACAGTATTATTGGAAACAAAATCTTTGAAAACTCTATTTATTTCAAAATTCCCACTGTTAAAAGTCACATTATATTGACGCTTGACAAACCAGAAATCAACCTTCAATTTCCAATGAAAATAAATGACAATTTTTGACAAAAATGAATTATTTGTTAGTTGTTATTGGGCAACTATGAATAAAACTAATAAGTTGTAATTGCCAATAAATATTCCACAGCAAAAAAAAATATAGTAGCCAATATAAACTGATGAATAATTTAGTTTACGAAATTAGTTGTCTGTCGACAAATGATTAATAGTTTAGTTGTGTGTTTAATGAAATTACAACTAATTGTAATTTCTTAACCAGCCTTCTCCATCTATGTCTACCTCAGGGTTATTTCTTTCTCCTTATCATCATCAGCCTTCCACGTGGTCTTATACCTACTATTAAGGGATTCATTATTGTGTACAGGCTTCTTGATGGATTGCTCTGAGCTACATGCTTCTCCGATGGGAGAGAAAAAAGGAAGTTAAGATATTAACTTCCTTGCTTTTATATCACTAGATATTGACTGATCAGATTCTGAAAGCAGCTGTTTATTGGTCTTTCTCCTCCATGTATTAGTATTCTTATCCCAGATTGTTCCGATTATCATGCAGAGGATTTTTCTTTCAAATCTTTCAATACTTCTTACTAGAGTGCTGTTTAGAGTCAAAGACTTCCAGCCTTACATCAGAACTGGCTTTATCATAGCATCATACAACCTTAATTTGGTATATACTATATCAAATATATACTACGGCCCACAGAACTGCTGCTTTCGACAGATTGTTCATTATCCGATCCTCATCCCTGTATAACTCCATCCCATCCAAAAACTGTTGCTCCAATACCCTCCATATCTTCAAATCTCACCTGTTTAATAATTTTTTATCCATCCAGACCCCATAAAATTATAAATAAATATTAATGTAAATATGCATATAAATTATTAGATTATTCTTAATTATTTTTACTTAAATTTTATAATTTTTTTATTTACTTTTTTATTAATTGATTAAAGTCAGAAAATAACTGATACTTTTTATTATGACTGTTTATTTATTTTGTGATTATTGTTAATGTGTCTCAGAGGATCCTTAGCCAACATATTGGTATTTTTGTATTATTCTAAAGGGACTCCTCTCAGAATACATAAATTATAATTATTGTTATTTCAATATCTTTGAAAGAGAGAACAAAACTCTGCGCTTGCTGTACTCTGGCCTATTTCCAACCGTTAGCCATTCATTGAGGTTATTGTAGATCAGAGGTATTTGAATTTGTCTAATCTCAGGAATGATTTCTCTTCAACACAGAACCAGTTTATTTAACTAGTATGTTTATATCACTATTATCTTGATGTACTATAGGCTTAATAATGTACATCTGTCTAAATCTTATACGTTACGTATTTTTTAATTTTCAGTCCTGATGATAACCCACATGCTTAGTTCAAAATGTCTGCAAGCTGCATAAAATAAATCTAAAATGAAAATTCTGACTATTTACTATCCTGTTAATTTAAAAAAACAAGTCCACAAAAATATTTTTTTTTTTAAATCAATTTTTCCTTCTTAAAATTGCAATATAAACTAATAAAATTAAATATAAATAACCAAAATTAGCTATCACTCCTTTCTTTTTATGTTGAAAGATAAAGGTACGCATTTACTGAATTAAATCTAGAAATATAGTTAATTACTCATTTATAATTTTGATTGTGGGTTGATAGTTGACAGTAGTGAATAATTGAAGAGGGTTGGTTGGGGTGATCATTCAAAACAAAATAGTAAAAATAAATAATTGTATTTATTTTCACATTTGCCGACGTTTCGGCTCGAAGTTCAGGCCTTCATCAGTGCTAAGAAAAAAACCAGATAAAAATAGGTATAAGAAACAATAAGCATTTAATAATAAATAATTAAAATTAAAAAAGTGAAAAGTATAGATTAAAAATTTAGGTAGAAAAACTTAACGTAAATTGAAGTAGATAGAGTGAACATTAAAGTAAAATAAAGTAGGTAGAATAATAACAGTAACAGAGAACTAAGAAATAAATAATAATAACGGTAACAAAGCACCGACCAATGAAATAAACATAATCAAAATAAGGTAACATAAGAAATGAAAAATTGTAATCTTAGAACAAAGTGTGAAACTTTATTCTTTACACTTTATTCTAAGATTACCATTTTTGACTGATCATCTCAACCATCCTTCTCTTCATTTATATAAATACAAGAAATTATGAACAAAGTATACTTCAAAATTTATACTGCATGTTTTTTACACATTTCAACATTTTTTATTGCACGTTTCAACATTTATAATGCATGTTTTCAAATTTTTACAGCATGAAAATCTGCGCTCTAATAATTTAAAAATTAGGGACCAAAAACATTCAAAGTCTGAATGCACTATTTGCTTCCTCACATATTAACAAATATATAAAAGTTGTATTTATGATTCTTGTGAAATATGTAAATTTTTTATGTATTTTAGCTCCTGGCATGTTGATCCTACATAAGAAACTATGTATGAATTTCAAGTATCTGTCTACTTCAACTTTTCTACTACTTCTACGTCTACATCTACTTAAACTTACACAGTAGAGTTTTTGACAAGGTAGAAATAGTAGAGGAAGAGAAAAATATAAAAAAGATATCCTAGGCTTAAGTGAAGTTAAAATAAAAGGTAATGGAGAGACCATTCTGAACAAAAAATATACCCTTACATCCTCAGGAGTACCAAAAGGAACAAGAGCAAAATAAGGAGTTGGTATTATCTTGAAAGAGAACATTTACTCAAAGGTTGAAAAATGGACCCCTATTTCTTCTCAAACAATTAACTGTCGTTATCCTTCTTGACTTCTCCAAAGCCTTCGATTCCATTAACCATCCCATCCTTTTCAACAAACTAAAATCATTGTTCTTCTCCAATAGCTCCATCTCTTCGTTTCAATTTTTTCTCTCACAACGTACCCAAGCAGTCTCCATACCTAATCAACCACTATCTGCCAACCTTTCTTTATCCTCTGGAGTTTCTCATGGATGTAGCGTATCTCCTCTCCTTTTTAGTTCCTATATTAACGACCTACATGACTCAATTCTCGATTGTTCCCACCACCTTTATGCAGACGATTCTCAAATATATCTATCCTTTTTTCCCCCTGAGCTATTGGTAGCATTTACTAAGATCCAAGCAGACTTAGATCAAATCTGTGCCTGGGAAAACTTAAATGGATGAAGGATAAATGCTGCTTATACAGGCTATTGTCATTGGTTCCAAGCCTCTTCTTAGATCCTATACCGACTTTCCCATGCTAAAGCTTGGTGACCAGCCAATCTCCTTCTACTCCTCTGTCAAAAATTTAGGGTTTTAAATTGAAAAAACCATCTCCTGGAATCACCATATTTTTCACATCTCCCGACGTACAATTTCTATCCTCAAACTATTCCATCGCTTCGGCCATCTCCTACCTCAACATACGCGTAGACTCCTGGTTTCCTCTCTCATCTTCCCCCACTTTGACTACAGCTGTGTGGTTTATGATGGTCTCTCGGTGGACCTCAGTGACAGACTGAAAAGACTAATGAACAGTTGCTTAAGATTGATAATTGGTGCCCCAAGATACTCCCATGTCTCTCATCACTACACTGAGTTAAAATGGCTCTTCCCCTCCATTCGAAGGCAATATTTGCTAGGTACGTTCCTCTATCAAATCATCAACAATCATCATCCTTCTTACGCCTACAATCTTCTCCAATTCAAGTCCTCAGTCCACTCCCTTTCCACAAGATCTCGACCTTCCGACCTTTATATTCCTTCTCACAGATCTGCCTTGTTCCAAAACTCCTTTATTGCTCGCTCTGTTAATTTCTGGAATTCTCTTCCTATCAAAATTCAACAATCTCCCTCCCTATCTACATTTAAAATCCTCCTATTCCAATTCCTGTCCCAAAAAGTCAGATACCTGCTAACCTTTTATGTAAAATTACATATTATTCATAATGATGTATTTACATATAATTCATCACTTAAATACTTACTATCAGATTCAACTTACTTTTTCCTTTTTTTTTTTTTTCAACAGAAACACAGAGTTTACTGCTAAGAAGAATGTAATGTATTTTTTATCATTTTTTTTTTCTAAAAGTGTATATTTATATTTTACCACTGTACATAGTTTTAAGTGTCTTGCCATGGTTTCTTATATTGTATATAGCATGTTTAACTAATATTTTCTTTACTTATGTCTCTTTATTTTTACTTTTTATGTTTTTTAGAGTGCTACCAGTGGGTAGTTTCTCAACAAGTCATTTCATGTTTTTATTTTCTGTTATCAAATTTACTTAATGTATTTAATTTTTTAATACAGTTGTAAATATCATGTATAAATAAATAAATAAACTTTTTATGTTTGTTTTTATTTAGGCCAGATATAATATTTTAATTTTGTACTTTTATGATATTCTAAAGGGACTCCGTCCCAGAATAAAATTATTTTCTATTCTATTCTATTCTAAGAGTTGATAAAAACGATTCAAAAGAAAAGAAAAAACCTTATATTTAACATAATAAAATTACTAACACAAAATATCTTGTAGTTTCTTACCTCAAGTAAAAATTTACAGAACTCATTTGCAGATATTATGAAAGGTTTTAATAAATTTATTAAAAAAATGTAAACGTTATTATAGTTTTTGATCTTAATAGTTCCTTCATGTAATTCAAGTATCCCTAAACTCGCAAGCTTTAATAATGAATCATAATATTCCTGAAAAAAAAGTTGAATTGATTATCAGATAATTATGTTAACTATAAAAGCACAACTATAATTTTTTATAGAAAATATTTCAAGAGAATCATGATAAATAAAATATTCTCATGTTACAAAAACAGAATACTCCACTGAATAGAAGCTATTTAATTATGCATAAGCACAAATGGATAAGAAACAAGAAATTAAATGTTAAATACACTCATAAAATCAATTTATAGGGAAAAATTCAAAATTTACAAAATTTTAATTTCATAAAGTGCATTACAGAACCTCTAAAAATAATTAATCTACATAAAACACTGTTCCACAAATAAACATTAAATAAGTAATAGGAAAAGTTGGTGAGGAGGGAGGGGTGCTGTCAGAGATGAAATTACACACAAGACTTGAAGACTTATTTTATAGTGTGCCAATGTTTAATAGAAGTTTTCTTATATATGTGTAATTTCATCTCTGACCGCTACTATTCAATCTAATTTCTGCTATGATTCAAACTTCTACTATTCAATTCGGGAGTAGGGTAGCTTAGTGGTATGGCACTGATCTTCCAATGCTCAAGGTCCTGGGTTCTAATCTGTTTCATCAACCGTGGGGCGACCCTGGGATCAGGAGACCCTCCTGGAGCACAAGCAGCCTATATAAAGTAGGTACACTTAATTAAATAATTAATTAAGGGGGAAAACCTGGTGGTTGATTGTAATCTCAGTCAAATCCTCTTCTTGCACAACCATTGATTAAGAAAGAGTACTTCCTCTTAATAGTACTGTGAACCCAAAACCATTCATGGGTTGTAGTGGTACAAATGTTTGTTTGTTTTTTCAGGTGTTTTCTTTTTAGTATTCAATCAATTGTTAACAATATCTCCACCAATTTTTTTTTTTATTAGGAGTTTCCTTAACCTAAACCTTGGATGGCTTCTTTCCATAATATCCTATCTAAGGTCCATTCTTCCCGTAGACCATGACCCGTCATGGATTCCTCTACTTCGTTATCCCAGGTCTTCCTTGGTCTTCCTCGTCTTCTTTTTTCCCTAGTTTTCCATAAAGTGGAACCATTATAATAAATAAATTTATTTATCTCCTGTGAAAAACATGAGTAATTCTAATAAAAATGATGCTAGAGATGACTTAAATAATCTAACCAAGATCATTACTGGAATATAAAGTAAAACCATAGTCAAACAAGATATTTTAGAAAAATGAAAAAGGTACTGGCTAGAAAAATACCCAAATCTTAATCAAAAATGTTTGAGAGAAGTAAAATAATTAATAAGTGATCAAATTAAGCAAGTAGAAAGTATTATTGTTGAAATGATGTAACTCACTTTTTGTTGAGCTAATTGGAATATAAGATAAATCAAATTGAATTTTTCAGCAATGGGAAAAAATTAATACTTTTTTTATTTTGAACATTACAAATACTATTATCTCCTGAGATAGAAATTAACATTATTGCAACTAACTTGTTTAAAATCCTTCACTGCTGAGAAGTAGAAAAGCGGCCTATACTGCATACAGCAGACTTTAAAAATGAATAACTGTAGAATAGCCATACCACCCACTCTATTAAAATATTGAAAATCACACAAATTTTTACCATTTTCCAGCCATCTGGAGTTTCACGATTTTTAGTGAAGTAAGTGACCTAAATTCAAAATTTTGGTACTCAGTTGACGCAGAATTTGATGCTCTACAACTTTTATTCTATGAATTTGTTTTCTTAGGCAAGTCCAATTTTCAAGTTGTAGCACAATTTATAGTAATTTGTATCAGTTTTTGACAAATTTAGTAAAAATCAGAGTTTGTTGACCATGGTTTTCTACCATACCACTTAACCAAATTATTAGGTTTAGGTACTTATCTGAAGCACAATTTAAGGTTCTTTAATTTCTCAAAGAGTACGTTTTCCGCTTTGATGCACCATTTAATAGTTTTAGGTGAAAAACAATAAAGATCAAAAAAATATGTTTTTTTTTTTGGCTGTAAAAAGTTTTCACTTAGTTGCTCCCAATTGTAATTTTGTTTTTTACAGGTTCAAACCCATATATACAAGTTAAAAAATAAAAACTTTTCCCACATTTTTTTCAATATATTTCTCATTTCGATCCTCTAGTTACAGGCCTGCTATTATTTAAATCAGTCACCATTTTTTAAAGCAGCATCTCTGGAATGTTAGACAAGGTTTATTTTACTTAGAATAAAATATACTTCGTAATTTACATTCAAATTTTCGCCTGTGATGAGGTTACTTTTTGAGCCCTATCTCCAGGGTTAATACTGTTCATAAATAATTTTAGCAACTGTTTTCTTGCTTTAGTCTGAGCAAAAACTTAATGGGTTCAATCATATATTAACATTTTTTTCTTTCCATCTTAGGTATCAAGTAAAATATACACACACACTCAAATGTAATTAATCAAAAATATTACATCAAATTATTTCTAAATTTAACAACAACAAACCCAAACAAAATAATTTTATTATTTAAATGAGTTTAAAGCTTTAAAGTAGAATTAATAATATTAAAGTTTAAAAAAAAATTAAGTTAGAAGCAGTAAGTACTGTAAAAAGCAGGCAATAAAAAAAAAAATTAATAAATACATAAAATTAGAAGCTTAATTGGCATTGCATTTGACGTCACAATCACTTTTTCTGCAACACTGTGCATTTTCAATACAGGCTGACAAACATTGTCGCACATGCAAATAATATTAGAAAAACTTAATTTGTTACTCTTAAAAAAGATTTGCTAAGGTCTGATTTAACCTCTAAAAAATTGTATTGAGACAATAGTGCAGAAACAGGAAAACAGGACTGAAAACACTCTCCCTAATGCGGACCCTATACGGTAATTCGGAATTGCATTCCAAGGCACTATTGACGTTCCGATTGGTCGTGTAAGGTACTGATTGAGTACTGATTGGTGTGTTTGGCAGATTTCAAAAAATTTGGAAATCAAAGGTTCAATCACGACAAGTGGAGGCGAGACTGAGGTAAAAATGGTGGGGAGACTAACTATTCTACTAGATAGGTTAGTTTACCTGCCTCACAACCATCATAAATTCCTAATTTTCATTAAAAGTAAATAGCTTTTTATATACCTTGTTTATATTTTATAAACCATCTTAAACTATTTTTTTTTTTAATAGTCAAGTGGGCAATAAACTAAAAAAAAAAAGTTGACATTTTTCTAACTTTTGTCAAAACGATTTTCAAGCACTAGAAAGTAATTATTATAACTCCACTTTCCTCTTGATATCCAATGCTATAAAGGATAACGTCTAAATAAGCTTTTTTAATTAAAAACATTACTATAAGTGGACAATGCACCAGAACCATGCTGCCAGTTATGATTGAACGTGTAGGGTTCACCATGGATTGGAGCAATCCCTGTCAGTTATGTGACTTTCATTCACAAGCGAGGGTGTAAGGTCGGCTTTAAGCTAAACCATAGAATGAAACATCTAGAAAGAAGCCAGATTGTCCCTATGGAATAATACTGGGTTGGCAAATAAGTCCTTTCGGGTTTTCAGGGTGAAATAAAACTCAATGTATTATAGACATAAAATTTATTTTAATCTACAATATACTGACCATTATTTAATATTAATTTTTCCTATCTTTCCACTAACTGCATAATGCCAGTTCATAGAATGTCTGGAGTTTATTGTTAAAAAGTTTTTATTGTGGTTTTGATGTCCTCTTCCTTTTGGAATTTCTTTCCATTCATGAGTTCTGCAGAGACCGAAATAAGTGGTAGTCACTTGGAGCTAGGTTTGGTGAATAGAGAGGGTGGGGCAAAAGGTCCCATTCAAGGCTCAATACTTTATTGCAAGTGACCAATGAAGTGTGGGGCCTACCGTTGTCTTGGTAGAACACAACACCCAGTTTTTGGAGAAAAAAATTTGCCAGTTTTGGGCATTATTTTTAATTTATTGATCCAATTTTGTTAATTGTGAACAGTATAAAGTTGAATCAATTGTTGGTCCTGATGGCAATAGCTCATAGAAAATAACACCCTTGAAATCCCACCATATGGAAAGCATTATCTTCTTTGGATGCAATACGGGTTTTGACATTTTCTACGGACTATATTATCATAAAATATACATTGTTCATCTCCTGTTACCAATCTTTTCAAAAATGGGTCGTTATGTTTTGTTGCTAAGATCTCGAAAAGAATATCCAAGGCAAATCAGGTATACAACCAAATCACTAGCAATATTCTCAGTCACCGTGAAGTGGATAAGAAGACTAAGATACACGTGTATAAGTCTATTCACCTGCCTATTCTCACCTATCGTGAAGAAAGCTGGACCATGTTAGAAAAATATTAGAGTTTCATAACAGCAGAAGAGATGATGTTTCAACATTGATGTGTTGGGAAACTTAAGAATGAAAGTATAAGAGAGCAGATGGAAGCAGTTAGCTCAAAACCAATTTGGAAAACAGACAACTCAAGTGGTTTGGTCCAATCTATGGCATGAATGTAGATATGGATCCAATAAAGTTATTAGAGGCTTGACCAACTGGAAAAATACCATGAGGGCAAATGGGGCAAAAATAAACATCTGTGAAATAACTCGAATTTTGAGTTTTTATCTGCACATAACAGACATGCCGTATGTGCAGATAAAATCGATAAAATCTATCGTAATCTACCGATAAAATCTATGTTATAAGATGGATTGGTAGGCCAAATGTTAAAGGACTCAGTTTCTGCAAATGCACAGGTTTGGACTTGGAGTCTGAAACTAGAAAGCGGCAGCGATTAATCGCACCAATTGTTGGAAGCTTTTGGAGAAAGCTTAGCCTCGGTGATGGGGCGTGACACCATATAAATGTATGTATGTAGCTTCCCACCACTTTAGCAACCTAAGTCATACTGAACATAAATAAAATGTTAAAAATATACAATACTTTTTCAGATAGTTATATTTCGATATATCAAAACCTGATATGTTCTATTCTATCCTCTCTTCACTGCAGCCACAC